CATGCAATGAGATGATACTTTGAAGACTTAGCTTCGCTGATGGCAGCTGCTCAACTTACTCCGTTTCTAAGCCTTCCAAGCCTATTCAAGACGCACATAGGTCTTGGAGCAGGTGTGCTTGAAGAGGAGGTCGCGGATCGAACCAAGCTGACTCCGGGCATTGCAACACTTGGAGCGCTTTCGCAGCAGTTGCCGGTCTTTGGCAATCCCTCGCTGCTCAAACAACAACTGAGGGAACTTGTGCTAAGGAGAAAAAGTCTTGTTCGGTGAGTGTGTGCCACTGCAGCTTTCATCCGATACCTAATCATCTCGATTCCCATTTAGTGAGGAGCCAGAAGATGATGATTCGCTTTCTGCTCAACCAGTGCTTTCTCCCGGGCACCTACCATCTTCTCACGGCTTGGGTGACGTAATCGGTGGGAAAGCCACCGGTCTTGCCTATGACTCGAGTATGGCACGACATGAGTGTGTTTGCGGCGAAAGTAGTTCTCACGTTGAGCATGGAGGAAGAGTGCAAAGCATCTGGGCGCGGTTATTGGAGCGAGGGCTTGTCCAAAAGTAATTGTGCTCAATTTTGAAACCGCCACAAACTTCATGATTATTGCCTTAAGGTGTGAAAAGATAGCCGCCAAAAAGGCTTCCCTCGAGCAGCTTCGTATGGTTCATTCCCCAACATATGTCACATTTTTTGCTGTTTCGCCCACAGCCTGTCTCAAAATGGAGGCATCTCAGCTCCCATTGAAGAGCTTTGTTCAGGTAGGTTAGAATATTCTTCAGAGGCGCTGTCCATGAAAACTTGCTTGCAGTTACCATGTGGAGGAATTGGCATAGATTCCGACACGTATTTTAACGACGCAACAACTCAGACTGCTGCTCGCGTGGCCGCTGGTTCTCTTATTGAGTTGGCTTCACAAGTAAGTTATGTTTTCTTTAATAAGCAGACCTCAATACTAGCATCTGTTTATCCTTCAATGGTCTGGGACTTCTTCAGTTACTGTTGAATATAATTGTATTTTCAACCCTCTGAGTTCGTGGGCGAGGTAGCAGATGCAACTTTTGTCAAATGCGGACAGAACTCCGATTTTTTTTTT